AGAGAGAGAGAGAGAGAGAGAGAGAGAGAGAGAGAGTTTAAAGGGCCCCAATTCAATAACGTTATCAAGTTCCCAGCATCTGCAATTCACAAGCCGCTCGCTGGTCGGGCGGCGCAGGCTCCGCCCCTTTCTCGGGTGTCGGGCGCTCATTGGTCGGGGAGGCAGTCGCCGGCCGGTGACTGCCCGAGGAAAGGTTGCCTGGGACACGCATCCCTGTGTGAACGCATGACGTCCCACCCTGGCGCCAGGCTGTCTGGGGCTGAGTCTTAGATCAACACAGCTGTGGGACCGGGACCCACAGCTGGGCAAAGGAGCGGATTCCTTAACAAAAAATAGGATTGTGAGAAAAGTTCTGAAACAAAAACAGCGCAGACAAAAGCCTTAATGACATCCTTTCATAAAAATAAAAAATGCAAGAGGGGGGAAAAAGCTGGTAAAAGGAGCAGAACTGGGAACAGAAAGTTCAGAGGCATTTGGAATAAGAGGCTGAGGCCCCGCCACCACTAAACAAGTTGCAGAAGGCCTGAGCTAGCCTGTCCAGTCCGCTGTGGGGGGAAAAGAACTCTATTCAGAGTTCCCAATCCAACCGTAACCCGTTTTTTTCAGAATTAGAATCCTAGTTTGGAGAAGACTCTTAAAGGTCATTTGTCGTCCCCCCCCCAACCCCACACACACCCCAGAAAGGAAGGTCCAGAAAGAAAAGAAATTTGTCTGAGGGCAAGTTATTGGCATGAACAGAACAGAATTCCACTTGCTAATCCCACTGCACCCTTCTGCCTGTGTCACAGCCCGTGGGTATTTCATCAGAAGCATCATGGGAAATAGTAAATGTGAAGGTGTTTTGCAAAGCATAAACCACTACACAAGCCTGAGGCATCAGTGGTAGTAAGGTAGGAGGGAAAAGGAGGAAAGAATCTGGGTGGCCCAGCACCACCACACACCTGGCCCCATGTTGGGCCCCTAGGCACCAGGGAGACCAAGAGATCAGATGGAGGGACCTAGTTAAGCACCTTACAGCAGAGAAGAGGCAATCTATAGTTATTTGTTGAATGAATGAGGTTGGTCTGAGTGGCCCCATTTTATAGACTGGAAAATTGAAGCACAGGTGATTTTACCCCACATTTGTAGTTAGTAAAAGAGAATAATGGAGATTTGAACATAAATCTGCCTGGCTCTGAAGGCCAGGATTTTTCTAGAACCTGCTGGCTTTACTGTTTTGCACAAACCACAGAAATCTGCATGATAGAAAAAGAAGGATCTTCTGTCTGGACATTCAGGAGTCCCTATAGCCACTGTTTTCCCCTCCCATGATCCAATGGCTGGTACTTCTTCAGCATATAGAGACTGACTTGTTTCTTTCTTTTTTTTTTTTTGGTACCGGGGATCGAACTCGGGTCCTTAGCTTGTGAGGCAGGCGGTGGAACCACTGAGTTAAATCCCTGGCCCTTGACTTGTTTCTTAACAGGTTATTTTCACCCTCTTTCTTATAATGAAAAGGCTGTCCTTGAAAACATTAATATTCCAAGAAGAAAACTTTTGATGACCTCTTTCCTGAGACAAAGTGAGAACCCTATGGTATTCTTTGTGGTGTGGTATTGAACATGTCTTATATCTCCTCTTGGGGCCCTTTGCTATCCCACACCTGCTGATCCCAATTTCACAAAACCTTAGATGTAACAGAGTTGGCAAGGATTCAAAATAATCATCTCCTCATTTTACTCACAAGGCAACTAAAGCCAGGGTACCTGGGCTTCTTCAAGATTACATGACCAATGGTCAGCAGAGGTGTCGGGATGAACACAGACCTCCTAAGATTCCTAGTCCAGTGTCCTTTCCACTATATAACTATTTGGAGACAGTCCTAGCTCTGAGCTCCTATTGTCCTGTTAATCAGTGCCACACACTATTGAACTCTTAATTGTTTCCTGTGTTAATCTTGTCTCCCCAAATTGTGCGATTCTTGAGAACAGAAGCCACTGTTTTACATAAAGCCACTCCATAAATATTTACTAACTGATGATAGATTAAGAGAGCAAGAATTGGGGGAATCCCACTCAGTCATTTCCAAGATGGAAACCAGAATCTTGGAACTGCAGATTCCCAAAAATCCTTTGAAGGGACAAGAAGACAAGCAAAGAATATTGAGCACAATGTCCTTTTGCAACATAGGAGTTAGCTCGCCTGCCCACTAGTGTCTTGTCTTTCTGGTCTCTTAGATAAACTTGGAGCTACTTCAGCAGGGCGAAGAATAATCAAGTCCAGGTGGCTGCCTTTTCATAGCAGAAAGGAACAGACAATAGAGTGATGAAATTATCATTGTTTTCTGCACAGAAGTGTGTGGAAAGTTGGGGACAAATGGGGAAGCAAAAGTTAAAATAGATTTGCTGACCAAAAGGGGAGGGAGCTCCTAAAAAGATTTATCTAGAAATTGTTCCCTCTTGTCCCCCATATTTGAAATCCTGTACAAAAGTCTAGCCAAATTCACTTCTGAAGAACAACTGGGCATATATTTGGTTCTTTATGGAGTTTCATGGGGCAAAAGGTCCGAGCTCTTTTCTTTCTCCATGCAAAAAGCATGAATTCAAGGCTGCTTTCTTTTCCTTTTTTTTTTCCTTCTTTCCCCCTGTTGCTCAAATAAATAGTGTTCTTTGCTCAAAACCCTTTTCCCCTCCTCCTGCTGCAATCTCAGCGCCTAGCCCAAATCTGTTTTCTTCATTGTAACCTCAGCTTCACCGCAATTAATTTTTTTTCCCTCTGGTCACAAGATAATTCCTGACGCCAGTGAGTCTGGAGGTCAGACGAACAGCAAATTGGGGAACAAGGCGGCACTAATTCCTTACAAGTTTCCCTTGAAAAATCTTTTGCTTAAAAAAAAAAAAAAAAAAAAGCTTCTTAGCTGTTCAGGGATTTATGACCTCGGAGGAGCTGTGGGTTCGAACCAGTGTTGGGCTAAGAGCGCACTGGCAGGGGGCAGGGGAGCTCAAAGATCTGGGGCACTGCCAGGAAAAGGCAAATTCTTAAAGTTAATGGTTTTAAGTGATTTTTAAAATCCTTGCTGGCGAAGAAGCCCGCCTCTCCCCAGTATTCAGCGCTTCCTCATTCTTTGAAACCGTGGCTCCGCGGTCTTCGGCGTCAGACCAGCGGGAGGAAGCCTGTTAGCAATTTAAGCGGGCTGTGAACGCCCAGGGTTGGGGAAGGCAGGGCCAGGATCGTCGGGGGCGTGACCAGGGCGGATATTTTGAATAAAGGGGCGTGCCGCGGAGGCGGGTTCTATAAGAGCGGGCGGCGGCAGGACTGCGCGCGTTTCGAGCTCCTGTAGTCCTTAGTGGGTTTCGGTCCTCTCGGCACTTCCAGCCTCAATCCCCGACATGAAGGCGCTGAGCCCGGTGCGCGGCTGCTACGAGGCGGTGTGCTGCCTGTCGGAACGCAGTCTAGCCATCGCGCGGGGCCGCGGTAAGAGCCCAGCTGCCGAGGAGCCGCTGAGCCTCCTGGACGACATGAACCACTGCTACTCGCGCCTGCGGGAACTGGTGCCCGGAGTCCCGCGAGGCACTCAGCTTAGCCAGGTGGAAATCCTGCAGCGCGTCATCGATTACATCCTCGACCTGCAGGTGGTCCTAGCCGAGCCGGCCCCTGGACCCCCAGACGGTCCGCATCTCCCCATCCAGGTGTGCGTGGGAGCCGGGGCGGGGCCGAGGCGAGCGACCGGGACGGGATGCTGCGGGACCCCCCAGAGGTCTCCGAGTGCTCCGCGTAATTCTTCCTTGTCCTCCTTTCTCAGACATCTGAGCTTGCTCCGGAGCTTGTGATCTCCAACGACAAGAGGAGCTTCTGCCACTGACCCGGCAGTCCTGGCACCTTCAGGTAAGAATCTCCTCCTTGGGGTGGGGCGGGAGGACGAAGGCTTATCTGGCAATGTGGGAGTTGGCGCGCCTTGTAAAGGATTGCTAGGGAAGCTGAGGCCAGAGAGGGGCAAGTGACCATGGTCACTTCAAATGATCGGCAGAACCAATTCTGTCTAGCATGCGTTTCAGACTTAAACGCACTTTGCCCTGCCCCTACCCCAGGGTGGCCAAAGATCGGGGAAAGTAGGCGCAGGTCCCACTAAATAAAATAGCCTTTCTGTTTGGAGTCGTAATGGGAGCTGAGTCTTCCTTAGCTCCCTTCCAACATGTGTCACTTCCAAGGGAGAGGAATAGCGGTAGCTCCGCCTGTGGCCCTTTGGCACCAATTTGGTGGGGGCTGTGTGGGGCGCGGAGTTATCAGCTGGAGGTAGAGACCAAGTTTCCTCCCTGGCGCCGGCCAGTCTGCGGGCGGCCCCGCCTCTGCGCGCTTGGCGGAAACTGACGGCTCCCTGATCTTTTTTCCTCCCCCGTCCAGAACGCAGGTGCTGGCACCCGTTCCGCCTGGGACCTGGGGACCCTCTTCGGCCGGAATCTCGAGGGCATGGATGAGCCCCAACCTCGCCCGGCCCACTTTACTTCCCCAGACTCCTGCCTGGAGGCTGGACCTGGCACCCGAGAGTGAAGGACTGTGAACTTGGGTGGCCTGAAGAGCCAGAGCTAGCTCTGGCCACCAGTTGGGCAACATCACTGCCCCCACCTCACCCTCAAGTTTTAAGGACTTGTCTTTGCAGAGCGTGGAGAGCTGGGGAGTAGGGGATGGCTGCTCTCCAACTCTGCCAAGGCGGCATTAGAGCTGGTCTTCTGGTCTCCTTGGAAAAAGGCTCTGTTGCCCTTATTATGAACTCTATAATAGAGTATATAGCTTTTGTACCTTTTTTACAGGAAGGTGACTTTCTGTAATCATGCGATGTATATTGAACTTTTTATAAAAGTTAACATTTTGCATAATAAAAACGATTTTTAAACACTTTATGGTCTCATCACTGGCCTCCCCGTTCCTTAAGTACTGATGCTTTTTTTCACATGGTGACTTTGGGGAAATGAATATCTGGTGTTTGGGAAGAGCAGACTTACTTATTACCTTGAGGTGAGAAAATTCCCACCTGAAACTGAGGGGCAGGGTGGGATGGGGTGGTGGAAAGGGACTATGAACCCAAATCAATTGGTGGTTCAGCAGAGAAAAGATCCTGGTCCTGCCCTCTCCTCTGACATAAGACTGGCACAAGCTTATCCAGCAAGGTGGGAGCTAAATTCTCAGTTCCTTTGATATCTGGCAATGGCTGACCTCTTAGATGTCATTAATTACTCATGATGCCTTTCTAGCAGGGGATGTGGTAAAGAGTTGCACCTTGAGTTTGCCTGCTTCATCTGGTGCCCAGTCATGGGTGATGGCTGATAGACCCATTTCAGAGATGAATAAGTTGAGCATGGGGCCTGTTTTCATTTCTTTCATGCTCTCTGGTATGGCTTCCCCCGGGCTTCCAAAGTTGGGAAGAGAAGAGCAGGAGCTCTGTCCTCAAATCTGCAGCTACTCTTGACAAGAATTTCTAGGTTAGTTGAGAGGTACTGGTACCTATCCCTATATAGGTTCTGACCTTAAGCTGGGAATTTGAGGAAAAGGCCCTACAGCCCTTATTCCTCTGGCATCCCTGTACCTCCTTCCATTGGAAACCTATTCTGTAAGCATATTTGTCTCCATTTCAGAAGGGGGAAAGTGGGGCTCAGTAGTAATGGGTCTGAACCAGGTTCTCACAGCCCCTTGAGAGCAGAGGTAGGATCTGAACCTTAACCACAGTCACTGGGTCTGAGGTGGGCAAGATCAGGGACTAACTGGCCATTCCATGCAACTAGGCCTCGGAGTAGGAGAGGTGGCAAGATATCAATGCCATCACCTACTGCCCCCCACCTGGTGGCTCCCCAGGTGGGCTCCACTGGCACCTGGCCTTACTGGATTCCTGTTTATGATATGATGTCATCTTTGAGTTGGCCCCTGGCATGTGTTACTTTAGTGTTTCATAACAAACATGTCATGTCATCACCCTTTGTGCCTTAACCCTGGTGTGCTTTCTGGGGTACACAAGGACATGGAGGAGGTACAGTCTCTTTCTCTGCCAACCATCCTCCTAGCCTGACCAGTTGTTCTTATCCTGTTTCTAGTCCTGATTCCTCCAATGATCTAATAGTATGAACACTCTCTTTATAAAGTATACACACATACATAACTTTGCAGAACAGTAGCAATGCTCAACCTCCGGAATCCCTTAGTTCCCATATGAAAATCCAAACCAAATACAGGACCCCACTTAGGTCTGCTGTAGAGCATATGATGGGGTGCTATGATGGCTCTGGGGACAGCCACAGGAAGGTGCAAATCCCTGCCTGCCACATAGGCTAGAGAGACTTTGCCTCTGTTGAGCCTCAGCTTTCACATCTGTAAAAGGGAGCTGATCTTGAGGAAGTAGTCCTGAGATGCCTGGCCCAATAAGACATCCTTAACTGCAATAGATCCAAGTATTTAAACTCCATGGCCTGCATCCATTTCTGCATAGTGTCTGGCCTCCTGCTTGCTCAGAAGCTGCAGGACTGGGATGGATTGAAAGAGCAGCATCGGCTCTTAGGTTGTGGGACTTCACCTCTGAGAGCCACTCTTTTTTGCCTGGCTGCCTCCCTTGACTGAAGATAATGATGGGAAAGTTCTTTGAAATGCATCACACACCTACCAGGCATTATTAAGCTAATTCCAAGGAAATTGCTTGTCAGGACTCCCAGGACTGAGCTGTTCAGGTGGCCAGGACAAAAGCTTAGACCAATGTGCCAATCCATTAGTCTAATTAGAGAGTGAAAGCAATTTGGCTCTAGGTCAGAAAACTCAGAGGATAGTGTCTTCCGTCATAACACTTATCTAGTACTTACCAGGTGCCAAACTCCATTTTATCTTAATTTTTTCTAATTGTCACTACAACCCAGCAAGGTTATCATTATTGCTGTTTCAGAGGAAATAGACTCAGAGGCTGCACAACTCGATCCAGGTCACAGCAAGGCAGCGGCAGCGGGTTAAGGAACACTCACTTTCTCTAGCTGCAAAGTCCACATTCTCGCCTTGACTTCTGACGAGCTGCTTTCCCTGAGCCGGCCACGTATTTGGATCCCAGTAGGAGCTTGCTAAAGGGAAAGACCTTAGGCCGCCTCCTCCTCTGTGAAAGGGTGGTGGATGATGGTATGGTAACTCTTCAAAGTTTGTGGTTTGATAAAAAGACTACACTCATAAAGTAGCTACTAGGCTCCTGAAACTACAAGATTCACTATTAAATGAGGGGTTTTCGCTCATTTTACATCCGAACTTCCCATCAGCTCTGAAATATAGACATTTGGGAGCTATTTTTACCTCGTAAATCATCTCAGAACAGGCAGAATAACTTGCCCGTGGCCGCATAGCGTCTAACAAAGCAGAGATCTCATGCCTGTGACACCAGAAATGGTGCCCGGTCCAGAAGCCCAGTGAAGCCCTCTCCAGCTGTAGATATGCGAGACAACTTTCAATTAATTACCCATCTTCCTGGCCTCATCGCCTCTCATGGCCACCACTTCTGCCCCAGGCTGCACCCGCTCGCTGTCTTTCCCACAGAGCTGTTTCCAGAGGTCCCCTCTACCCACCCGCGGGCCTCGGGCAGAGAGCGACTCCCACCCGCGGCTGCCTGGCGCCGGGCGGGGGCGGAGCTTCGGCCCACGTGGCCTGGAGCCCGGCTGGGCGGAGTCGTCCGGCCCCGCCCCCGCCCGGCGCCCGCTCCCCCCGCGGGCCCTGGGGGCTGCTCGCAGGTGTTCGCTGGCGCCCGGATGTCTGAGCTCTGGCTCCACTCTGGCTCTGGCTCCCTCCGCAGCCCGCGGGCGGGGCTCGCAGCCCATCCGGAGCCTCGCGGCGCCCCCGCCGCTCTGCCAGTAGCGCGGCCTCCCGCTTCCCAGCCTCCCGGCCTGGGGGGGCCTGGGGTGCCCCCCACCCAGCCGAGGCGCTGACCCCACTGCTCTCCCGCTGCCCCCTGCTGCGCTCGGGCCGCCGCAGCCTCGGCGCACCCCCACTCGCTTCCTGCCTCGGCCGCTGCGCCCCGGGCCGGGCTGCTCCCTGCGCCCCGTTCCTTCCTTCCTTCATTCTTTCAGGCCACTCGCATTCCTCGAGCGCCTGCGACGTGCCCTGCACAAGGCCTCTCCGACCTTCTGAGAGTGGCCTCAGGCCCCGGTCTCTCCCTCCTACCCCCCTCCCCGTCTTCTCTGTGAAGGCCTGTTCCACTCACGGTTTAGTATTTGATTGTTCTCTGATCTCCTGTTGGGGGTCAGTCAGTGGCAAGGTCAAGGGGTCTCTGTGTGACTTGAGATCAGGGGTCAGTGTGACCAGAATTGGGGTTCAGCCAGTCTGTGGCAGAGTTTAAGGATAATTGTGGGTAGAAGTTGCCAGTAGTCACTCTGTGGTCCGGCTCAAATGGGCAGGGCATGAGGATCAGCCTGTGGGCAAGGACAGTGGGCAGTCAGGAGCAGGGTAAGTAGGTCACCTTGACATCAGGATTTGGGGGTTGCCTTTGACAGGCCAGACAAAGAGGGGCAGTTCTCTGTAGCCCGCTGAGCTCAAGTTTACATCCTTCTTTGGCCATCCTAGGCCAAGGCTGTGGAAATGTCTTTCCGGCTGGGGACACCCTCTGTCCTTGTGCCAGGTGCTGCAGGCAGAAGCCCTCATTGGGCCTGACTGCTGTTAGTCACTCAAAGAAGTCACACAAAGATGTGGCTCAGAAGGGCAAGGAGTCTGCTCAGGGACATATAGCAGACTAATGGGCCAGACAAGACTGAAGACTGGAGCCCAAGCCTCCTGGCTTCCTATCCTCAGGTCCTTTCAGGATGCCATCCCTACCTTGAGCAGGGATTGTAATTCCTACTTTAGGGATGGGGCAGCTAGGACCTCATCCACAACTTTCAGGAGTGACTGCCAGCGGGTGGTGGACAGCATAGCTCCCCACCCTGAGGCTCTGGAAAGCACTGTCTCCTTGTTCTTGCCCACCCAGCCCCCTCCTTTCTACCCTGGTGAGGAGCAAATGGAACAGGGTGGCCAAGGGGGAGTTGGAAGCAGGGAGGGAGAGAAGACAGGGAACGGCTGGGGAAAACTTAGCTGAGCTTTCACAGAAACATATGGAGCTCATTACCCTAAATCAAGGTGGTCTCTGGCCAGCTGGCAGTTGGTGGGTTTAGGGCTAAAAAGTGTGTGTTGTGTAGCAGTGAGGGAACTCATAGCCCTGCAGCCTCCCCACAATAACCCACCTACTCAGTGATCATGTTCTTGCTAATTTATTTTGTTTCCAGGCCATGCCATTTATGGCACCCAAGCAGGTTCTCAAGGCATGCCTGGGTACTGAGCCACTGTAGGGTATTCAGGAAAGGGATGAGGACTTGGAGACCATCAGGGTAGATACATACGTTCTCCACAACCTGACTTCTTTCTTCATCATTAGGGCCAGAGACCTGGTGGGTCTTACTGTCTGTGCAGATGTGTGAAGGGCTGAGCCATGGTTTATGATCCTGGTGTCCCCCTAGGGTTCATCCAGGTAAGCCCCAAAGGGCCTGTGTGTTAGTCCACATCCTGTCAATCACATTGTCCACTGCAGATTCAACTTCATATACAAAGACAGGCATTTTTTTTTTGGTACCGGGGATTGAACTCAGGACCTTGTGCTTTCAAGCCAGGCAGCAGAACCACTGAGCTAAATCCCCGCCCCCTAGGACAGGCAGTTTTTGAGGCCACTTGCTAGTACATAGTGTTTTACCATCTACGGTATCAGAGCTGATTTCACCCCTATGAGATTCACAGATATTAGATGACCTAACAAAGGTCACCTTGGAGTAAGTGTCACAGCTCAGGTCTTCGACACTAGGAGACATCCGCATCCAAGGCTCTTACTGTCTGTAGCTCTTTTAAAACTTTGTATAGGCA